AGCCAATTGTGTATGTGTAATACTAACTTTTTCAAAAAAATTAACGCTGCTTCCTAATACTCTAAATTCTGGCGTTCCTGTTGCTCGAACCTTATTCCTAGCATAGAAATTTCATTAGAGACTACCATTTCCATTTTCCAGGGTTAGGGATTTCGGGTTGGGCATATGGGTTTTCCTATGGGGGTGCGGGTGTATGGAGTTGAGGTTGGGGTTTTTCTATGTGGTGGTGTATGGCTTCTTCTGGTGGTTCCATCTTGTGGGTTTCAGGTTGGGATTTTTGGTGAGGTTGAAGGTTGAGGTATAGGTTGCTATGGTTTTGGGTCTTCAGGTGGGTCTTTCCTATGGGGTCTTTCGGTGGGTTTAGGGTTGAGGTATAGGTTGTTATGGTTTTGGGTCTTCAGGTGGCCTAGGGGGGTGTGCATGGTTAGAAAATGGAAATGGTATCCACTAACTCTCTGACCGTGCCTTCTCCCAGCTGGTACTATGGCCTGATGTTCACCTTCGTCATCCAGACCCTGACTGGCACCGTCATGTTCCTCGTGCTCTTCTTATTCTTCATGACCATCATCATCATCATCATCCTTATCATCATCAACTTGATGCCTGATGCTGCATGCACTGGCTTTTTTGGTAACCATGATCCGGATCATCCTGGCCCTCGCCCCAAGCCATGTTCCCTGTTCGCAGGGAGGCATACACACAAAACGCTAAACCCTAAATCCACTCAAGTTCACGAAACACCCCAAGCCCCTGAAAGCCGGAAGGGCCCAAAACCCCCAAAAGCCAGGGCCCCAAAAAAAGTCGACGGACACCCCGGTCAACCCCCACCCCACCCCTCTCCCTCCCCCCAAAACCGACCTGCCAAGAGCACCGTGTCCACCATCAGCAACTCCAGGGTCCTCATCGCACCGTCCCCTGCCTGCACGAATCCCTAAACTTCCTAAACCCTAAACCCTAAACCTCTGCATTATCTGGGACCCCCTTGGAGAGGGAACTTCGGGGTGCCTAGGCAGTTTCGGGCGGGGCTCCAAAAGCCCCGAAGGCCACCCAAACACTGGGAAGGCTTCAACGCCCTATGCTTTACGTGCGCTTTGTGGTACCTATACGCTTAGGATTAGGGTCCAAGGCTCAGGGTACAGGGCTTTGGCGTGTGGACTCTGTTGACAAGGCTTCAAGTTCTAAGGTTCGTGTAGGGTTTTACGATGTTCCTACCCCCTGCGCCAAAGCCCATGGTTTCAGGAAGTTGGGGAGCCTAACGGAACCTCCAACACAGATGCCTCAGAGGTTTCGGTGTATACTGGACTTCTGCAGGCGCCCTAAGGGAATACGGTGTTTCATCCCTCAGACCTCTGTAAATTGGATCATTGAGCTCGAAGGGGTCGGAGCCTCCTTAGTCTTAGCATGATTCGTAAACCCTTTGCAAGTTTTCCTTTAGGGTCAGAATGATGGGATCCCTCTTGGCATGCTTAGTCAGGGAGGCGTGGGCTGTCAAGCAGAGGTCTACGTGGGGGGCCCTCGTAAACCCTCCACCTGGAGCCCTAAACCATTTTTAAAAAAATCAAGCTCTGAAACCCGTGGGAAACCCAAACCCTAAACCCTAATATAGAGGCCTTGATGATTAGAAGAGCACGAAAAACATTCATAAAAAAGAACCATAAAGGAATAGTGTATTCCGGCTGTAGGAGTGGTGCATCCGATGACTTGGCTTAGGGATGGAAGAGCTAGATAAAATGCGTTTAGTTTAGTTTCGAGGCTCATTCAGGGTTCAAACTCAGGGTTTTGGCTTCAACCTCCCCACACCCTGCACCCTTAAAGGCCTTCCATTCATAGGTCAGGTTGTAGTACGGCGAAGGGTAGTTCCAGCGCTTGGAGTCGTGCGAGTATGCCAGCTGCGCCGTGACGTTGCCACGGTGGTCGTGATTGCCTGTCAGGATTTTTTAGGGTTTACGGCTTTCTGGGCTAGGGTCCGGGGCACGGCCGGGTACGGGGGTACGGGCAACTCACACCCACACATCGGGCGGGCATAGGGATCTCAACTGCTTCAGAACGGCTGCCGGGCATCTTCTACCAGAGCCATGTGAAGATGGGAGTCATACTGGAACACCCAGCATTGCACCGGTAGGTCATAATTCTCGGGACCCAGGTAGGGAAGGCCTATCTATCTATCTATCTATATACATATAACACATGCCGGCTATACTATCTAGCTCAGATTGCATTATTCGATGGTGGTCTGTATACGTACTTGCGAAGCAAAGCCTGGCTCCTAGAACCTAAATCCGCAACATGCCGCAACGCTCGCTTCAAACTTCGGACGCTCAGTCGGAAACCCAAAAATCAGACCCTCGGGGCTCAGACCATCCCAACTATCGAGCCCTAATCCTCAACCTCAAACCCTAAACCTTAAACCCTAAACCCTAAATAAAGCGCTCAACCCTAAACCTTAAACCCTAAACCCTAAATAAAGCCCTCAACCCTAAACCCTAAGTCCGAAATCCTAAACTCCCAACCCTCTGGGGAGCTCCGACGCCTGCCACCACCCAAAATGGAAGCTCTGGCAGATCGCGGCAGTAAACATCCTCAAAGGTTTCCTGAGTAGGAGTAATATAGGATTTTTTTCTCAGAAACCTTTGGGCTTTATTTTGGGCTCTTGATATATAGATCCATGAATTTGGGGAGGGGGGGGGGGGGGCGNNGGGGGGGGGGGGTCGTAGGAAAAGGGTAGCTTGATCAGGTTCCTACATTAAGACAGAGAGGCCATACTAGTTAGAACAGGACGTTCGGATAGCTTGTACAACGGTTAGAATTAGAAGAGGTAGCATAAGGGAATAATGCTTCGAATCTTTCCGACACATACGATCAGCTATATTAGGGTTACATGCGGATTTGATCTGAGCAGGCTTTTCAGAAGCTCGTCGTTCATAAGGGTCTTGGACAGGCCACGGCGCTAACTTAACAGCGGTTTTGGGGGGTTCGGCGTTCGGGGTTTCGGCCAGTTTCGGCCTTCCGGTTCAGAGTCGGGGCTGAAGGCTTGGTTTGGTGGGTGGGGGTGAGAGGGCCGGGGAAATATTGAGCCGCAGTCACCACCACAGGAGAAGCAACAACAGTAAAGCAAGATGACGGCCCCAATAGACACGGGCCCTTTAGATAGAGAGCATCCAAGGTTGCCACTAGTTACTAGTTGGCGAGGCCCCCGCATGACTGAACCCGGAAGCCCGAACCCTAGCCCGAGCCGTGAACCCCAAACCGCAAGCCCCGAACCGGGACCGCGAAACTCAAAAAGCCAAGGAGCATGAAATCGTGGTGAGTGCTCCGTCTGCACGCCGTGGGAGTAGAAGTTATCCCCCAGCCTCGGCACCCCTCCCGGAACGGCGCACAGAACCTCGAGCCTACAGTAGGGTTTAGGGCTTTCGAGGCTTTATACAGGGTTTGCGGTGAAAGGTTTGGGGCCTAAGACTGTGATGAAGAGCTTGAGTGGTTCGGGCTCTCTGTAATCTCTGATTTAACCATCGAACAGGCAACAGCTCTGCTATGGAACACCGACATCATCAAACTATGACGCTTTTTGGGTGGCTCCAAACGAAGTTCCGCTTGGGTGCCTTACCAAAGCTTCTTCGAATCTTAGTACCAGGGAAGGCTGAAGTAGTGCGGTCCCCCCATTTTGAGATGGGTTGGACCTTGACACTCCCAAATCTAAACCCTAAACCCTAAACCCTCCCCAAGCCTTAAACTCAACAATGCCTCCCCCCACCTCCCCCGTTCAGGCTGCCGCCCTAGGCCCGACCCCACAACAGGGGTCGTATAGGGGCCTTAATGATTGGAATAGAGAGTCTTGGGTTATATTAGAGTACAGTATATATATATAGCGGAATCACAAGGAATAATGAGGGCAGTGATTCCGACATCTGAAACCCTAAGCCCTAAACCCCACTCCCCAATATATTCATTCTCAGCTCTAAGATGCAAAAGGACCATCTCGGCGCCGATCTCCTGGGCCACCCGGGCCATACCGGCGGAAGCTTCCACCTGAAGGATGTCTGGATCCCTCGGGCCTCTGGGTTCATACAGGGTTTTACTAGGGCCCCAAGAAAGCACAGAAGCAAAAATTGGGATAGGGATATCCCATATAAAACCCCCTTATAACGAAGCCCCATAGGGTAGGAATATCCCTATAAAATGCCTAGGTCCCTGATTTACAGTTTTAGGGGTGTGCCGGGTCCGCGAGACTATGCGTTAAGCCCCACAGTTCGGCCCTCGTGCTCTTCACCCTTTTTTGCCCTGCCCTTTTGCGCCAAGCCCCATAACAACGTCCTATAGCAAAACTTCCCACCTGCCCAGAGGTTGTCGGATGATCGTCGTCGCGACCGCCCCAGTCGCCAACCGCCAAGAAACTGGCAAAGCGTGCAAGAGAAGCTCTCTTGAGGAAACAAGGTTCCGCTGGTGTTAACTCCGGTGCTGCCCATTAACACCTCTCGGTGATACACAAATGCTTGATGAATGGATACACAGATGTGCAAACATGGTCTGCATGGCTGTTCATATCACTATCACTATTCGCATACCGCGCTTTCACCGAGCAGAAGCAGCAAACAGACAGCTCATTCGTGGTCTAAGCTTCGCAATTCTTGCAAAGGCTTCTTTGTGACAATTGGGTAGTTTTGTAAATTGGGGTCCCTTTTGGGGTCCTTATTCTTATAAGGGAGCCGTACTATTTTGGGGACCTTTTAAACAGGGGCCCTGATTTAGAGAACTACCCAATTGAGGCTACGGTCGCGAGACATCAAAGATCCGGAACACACTTCCGATCACCTACCTGGAGGACAGGGGCATTACTCAGCCATCTAGAACCGACACCCCAAGTCCTATAGACGCGGAACCCTAAGCCCTAAGCCAAAACTCGCCGTAGACCGCTTCACCCTAGGAATCCGAGGATCTTGGTCGGGCACCATGAAGTTGTGAAACACAACAGCTTCCACTGGCTACAATCCCGAAGATCCAACCCGATGTAACTCGAGCCCCGCCCGGGTCGATGACCCTTTCGAACCCTGACCCCACCCAAGCCTTTGAATGACCCTCTTGAATACTGAAACCCCAAGTCCTTGTAACAACCCTCACCAAGGCATTGTAGAACCAGAGCCCCTTGAACTTGTATAGGAACCCTTAACCTCAAAGAAAACCTAGAGATCCGTTAAAGGAACCCCTGAGATCCCTTTGAGGAACCCTTAGAGCCCTTCAAGGAACCAGGGCCCTAAGAACCACCTCGGGCCGGCCCAAGCGGCTCGCGCGCAAAGCAGCACCCAGATCCGGGACATGGCTTGTTAAACTTCTACCCATATACCACCCCGAGAAACCTTAGCGTCTTAGAGCTCGCTCTTCACCCCTAAACCCCCGGGGCCCGCGCCTGAACCACATGAACCCTAAACCCTAAGCTTACATGTACATGCCTTTAAACCCTAAACCCTATGCCCTATGCCCTAAACCCAAAACCCTGAACCCTCAACCCTAAACCCAAAACCCTGAACCCTCAACCCTAAACCCTCAACCCTAAACCCTTAAGCCCTAAACCCTTCGTCAGCCTCTGTGCCCTGGAGCACAAAGCTTCTCTTGGACACAAAGGGTTGGGGTTTGGGGGGTTCAGGGTATAGGGTCTAGGGTGTAGGGCTTCCGGTAAGGGTTGGGGAAGGGGCTTAGGGGTTTACGGGCTTAAGGGATTCAGGGGATTTACGGTTCAGGTGGCTTTAGGGTTTAGGGGTTGTAGGGCTTAGCCTGGCCAGCAACATGGCTTATGATGGTTTATGATGTCGAAGGTCGGGTCGAGACCAATTGTCGAGCCTTGCGGCATGGGGACCAATTCTTAACCCTAAACCCTAAACCCTAAACCCTTGAGTGGAGCCTTATACCGGCAGCAAGGAGCGTAAACCGTAGGGTAAGCCCCTCAGGTACACCCCGAGCCCTAAGGCAAACCCTAACTTAAACTTATGTATATAGACTTGAAACCCCCTAATGTAAACCTTAAACCCTCAGAAAAGGAACCCCAATCGGAAGCTCCCAGCCTCCGAACCCACGCCATTCCTGAAAAAACGGAAAAACCACGAACCTCAAGAGCCTCAAACCCGTCCCAAACTCTGAATTACTGTGAGAAAACTCCCTTATAGGCCCCTGTTGCTGTTATGGTATGATATCATCCAAATCACTCTATTATTATGGCTTTGTAATATCCGAAACCCTACTATTAAGACCCCCAGCTGCAAGGAAAGAGCAGCAAACACTCAGCCGAACCTCCGTCGCGGTCTCTCGCGAAGCCCCGGCGCCGCTCCCACTCTCGCCGTCACCTCGCGCTTTTCACCGGCAGGGGGGGGGGGTGAAGTTTAAGGTTGACCTGTTCACCCCGAATTCCCTCCCTTTTGAATGAAGGACTTCTATAAGGAGATCATACTAAGGAACTAGGCTTCTTAGGGTCCAGGTAGGGCTTCGGGAGTCGGGTTTAGGACTTGGGCTTGGGGTCCTGGGGTTTTGGGTTCTGGGGACGTTGAGGCTGAATGCTATGGTGTTGGGACGAGGAAGCTGAGGAAGCAGAGGGTGTAGGGGCTTAGGGGCTTAGGGGTTTAGGGGTTTAGAGGCTTCCGCACGACGTTCTGACCAGCTGTCAAAACCACAGCCATTGTACAAGGCATAGCCATACACGATTTGCTCCTAAACCTTAGATCCTGCAAACCCGATGTAGCATTGTAAAGTAGTATAAACCCTATGAGCCCCATGAACGCTATAAACCCTATAAAGCCCTTTTTACAGTATGGACCCCATAAAGCACATAAACCCTATAACCCTCCAAACCCTATAACCCTACAAGCCCTCAACAACCCCAAAACCCTTTGACAATCTCCGAGCTTTCTTGGAGGCGCCACGTCATAGCCCACCTGGTGCATCCTCCTCCGCGCGAGCCACCATGGGCTTGGCAGTCTCCAGAAGGGCACTGCCTGGTTTGGGTTCCCAGTTGGGGCCATACTAAAAATGATCACTGAAAGGACCCAGGGTTTGGGATTAAGGACTTACAGCCTTGACGACTTCAGGATTTCGGGTTGGCGGGGTTTAAGACTTTTGGGTTGGTGGTTTGGGCTTAAGGGCTGAAGGGGTTTAGGGAGTTTAAGGGTTTGGGGTTTCGGATTTGGGGATTGGGTTTCAGTCTCCACTGAAGACTAGAGTCTGCGGTTGATTACTCTCCTCCTCTTCCTGACCGTCTCTGGTCAGACTAGTCGGTCTCATCAATCATGAACTTGCCTTTACAAGCATGGATGCTTTGGTTGTGATTCACCAGGACCCGGATTCTATAGAAGCTGCCGGCACGGATGCTCTGCTCTGGTTGAGATGGATTGAGATAATTAGTGATGCCATAACGTATAATAGAACAGGGTTGTGGTGTAAGTTTCTACTACATTTATCATGACTATAAGAAAATATAGCTCCAGTTCTTCCCACCCCTACATACATAGCATGATTTCCCTTATATTGCCTATACATGAATATACTACAGTATACGCCCCAAACCCTATACTAACCATTATTGAGGCCCTTGTAGTAGATGATCCTGCTTCTTCCTGGGCACCGGGCTGGCGTGCTCCGGCTTCTCTTCCATCGACTCCCCGGTCGCGGGCTCAGGGGCCTGCGTGGCTTGGGGCTTGAGGACTTGAAGCATTCTCGGGGCTTTGCGGTGTGATGTACTTTAGGGTTTTAGGTTTTAGGGTTTAGGGTTTAGGGCTTTACTTCAGGGCTTCAAAGCCTTCGAGACCTAACCACCCGAATCGCAGAATCGCGGCCACCTCCGGAACCCTCATCCTTGAGGCCCCTCACCTCCTTCTGGGCAAGCCTCTAGAATGAAAACCCCTAAGAAACAGCAAAACAGCACCCCTTGAAGACAAAACTTCAAGTCTTTGAACCTGAACCCACTGAATCTCAGAAGACGTTGGAGGTCGTGATGGATTTAGCAGAGTGCTGGGCAGAGGATTCAAGGCTGAGCTGGGTTTAGGACGTAGGTTTAAACTGAGGGAGTCTTCTTCTTTGTAGGACGAAACCCCCCTAGGTCATATGCTTCTTCTAGACTTCTTGAGGGTGATGAAGGGTCCAGCGCTTCAGGTCTAGAGATCTCCACATGCGGGCGCAGGGACCTAAAGCCCAAACCCTAAACCCCAGTAGTATTCGCCGCGTCCTCGTCGACCGCATGGGAGTCTTCGGCGGCAGCTGCGCCTATGCAGAGGGAGCTTTACGGACTCGGTCCGAGCACCAGATATCTTAGCTCTACGACTTTGCGTTTGCTGGCCGAAAGTTAGGTGGGGCTGTTCTGTATCCATGTTGAAGGACCGGGGATTTCGCATTAGCTCACTGGGCAGCTTACTCAAGAGTCTACTCCTTCGGTGCTTCCCGTTTCATCGCGCATCTCGTCCTGATGCTCGTCATCACGCATGTCATCGTCACCATCGCCAGCATAATAACTCGCATCGGCATCATCATAAACTATTAAGCAGAACTGCCATCATCGTCATGAGCAGCAGCACCAGCACCACCACGACCACCACCACCGCCACCACCAGCACCAGCAGCCACAACACCATCAACAATCGCCACAAAACACCAAAACCACAGTCAAAGAGCAAAAACAAAAGAAAGTCGCAAGAAGACGACTCGCGTGGCCTTGCGACCCCTGGGACTGCAGTGATAGCTGCGTTGCCTCCGACGTCTCCTTGGCAGAGAGCTTCACAGCTGTTTCTCCTCGTGCTCACTATGAAGGACAATGTTCCTGTGCGTTCAAACGCCGCTGTCGATACAACTCATATTCATACGTTTCTAACAAGAAGAATAAGGCCAATGCTACTGACCGTAGTTCTGATTCTGCTACTCATGCTCTTACTCCTAGCCCTACTCCTAGTCCTACTATATTGCTACACCGCAATACCACTAAGCGACGACGAGAAGTACTACACCATCCCAATCCGAACCCTGAACCCAACGACATC